CATATATGATAGGTTCATAGTCGTTTTCGACTGTTATCATATTTACAGAGATGGTATTATCTGTATCACTTTCAGTATCCGTTGATTCACAATTAAGGTGATTTAATTGTAGTTCATTACTTCCTGTGTCATCAATACCTGGGGGGTCTGAAGTTGTTTCTTCATTTGTTTGCACTTGATTGATGTGTCTTTGATGCTTTGGTGTGTTACTTCTGTATCGATGCTTAGAATCGGAGTAACGGTTATTATTCCTATGTGGTGACTGGGAATAATTTCTGTATCTATTATTGTAACTTGAGTTTCGATTTTGTGAATTATTTCGTGATCTGTTTTGATAGTTATTATTTGATTTGTGATAATTCGATCTTTTTTATGAACTGTTCCTTGATCTGTTGTTTGGATAATTCTGATTTCGATTGTTAGAATAACTTCTATTTCTATTATGTGAATAGTTTCTATTTCTGTTAAATGATGAGTTTCGTGATCTATTATTGGAATAGTGTCTATTCCTTGGGTTTGAATGGGAACTGGATGCAGAAACAAACTCTGTTGTGTTTGAATTCGACCGGGAATAGTTATTTTGGTTATTTTGGCTATTCGATCGGCTATATCTATTTTGTGAGAAATTTCGTGAATTTCTTCGTTCGGGCGATCTACCTCTATAACTGGAGTTATATGGTGATTGATTTCTTGAATAATTTGAATTACTTGGAAGTGGTTTTCCTGAACTATTATTACTATATATATATTTTTATTTGGTAGGTTTTGATCTTTTTTCATGTATTGATAGAATGACTTATTTGGTTCGTTGTGCTTTTGAGGTAAATTCTGATTGTCTTGTTGTTTTTGTCTACATTCGGCAATACTGTGTCCGTATCGTCGGCAATAATTACACCATTTTTTGAAAGATGGTTTGCCTTTAAAGTTTGGGTTCCGTTCGTAGATGTTTAGTATTTCAGTAATATTTTCAATCAGGTCTGTGTCTGATTCTTGTATGTTATTTATATGTGTAGTATTTGTTTCAATCCGATTAACATATTGTAGTTTTAGATTTTCTGTTTCTTCGAGTTTCATTGTAATTTCTGCTTGTTCTAGTTTATCTACTAATTTTCTAAAATCTAAATCTGGTTCTCGAATTGAGAAAGGATGAGAAGCTCTTTTTTTTTAGCTATTTTCCTTAATTGAGGTGTTAAGATCATCATTAAAATTTCTGTCATTTTTGTGTTTTTGTAATCATGTGTATTGAGTGAATATGCTTTTCGAAGAAGTGTTTCGATTCGGACTGCTAATTGTTTAATTGTTTCATTTGGTAATCTGCGTATTTCGTTGCATAAGACTCTTTGAAGTTGTTTGTTTCTTTCAGAATCAAACATTTTTGAAAATTCTTGTGTGAATCTTTTCCAATCTGATTTTATTTCTATGGGTAATACTGAAAACCATTTTTGAGCTGCGCCATCTAGTGTTGTTTGTATTAACGCTGTGCGTCTATGTATCCAATTTTGATGGAGTGGTGTATTAATTGGTTCGGGTCCTATATTTAAAATTGCATTTGCTGTTACTGCATTTAAACAATCTTCTACAGTATATTCAGTGTCTGTTCATCTGTAGTGATTCTGCGGCATTTGGCATTTGTGAGAAGTTTGAAAGTTGATTTTTTGTTATTTCATGTTGCTAAAGATAATATGGAAGCGGTATTTCATTTTGCATTTGAGTCGGTTGGTAAGAATGCATTGACATTGGGTTTTGTTGTATAGCTTGAAAAGATTGTGCAATAAATGGGTTTTGTATATGCATTGGTTATTGATTCTGTATATCCGTTGGATTTTGTGGGTGAATTTTCATATTTTGGGATGGTTGAGATTGTCGCGGTCTCTGTGTGCGATATTCTTTAGTATATGGTGCAAAAATATCTGGTTGATAATAATAATCATCATCAGAGGATAAGTAATTTGTGTTTTATGGTGCATGTTGTCTATTTTTATTTTGTTTAAGAAATGAGTAATTTTCACTATAATCCTGTGGAGGGTGTGGATTATCTGGAAAGTTCACTGAATTGGTCGATGTATTTGGGACATTCCAATAATGTGAACATACGTGGTTTAACTTTTGTGTATTTGTTCGGGGGGGGGGGTTGATTTGTTTTTGATTGGTGTACATAATTATAATTGTGTTCTGCAAAAGTGTTTCTTGTGAACGTTTTTCGTGTTTTTGACGGTTTTGTCATTGGTCTATACGTCTGATAGTCCATATGTGAATATTTTAGAGCAACCGAAGGTTTAACGGTCGATTGTAAGGTTACTTGTGTTAGTGATGTATTTGTATTTTTTGGTGTTGTGAGATTTGGGCGTATTGGTGAAATACTTTGTTGTGTAGTTGTTATTGTTGTTTGGACGATTTCTTCATTTATGAAGTGTAATGGTGTTTGAATGTCTTGATGTGTAAGATTTCTGGTTCCATTGAGATTTTCATTATGTATGACTGTTGAATTTAAGCTGTTATATCGTGTATCAGGTAAAAATGTATTATAATTTAATGGTGTTGCGTCAAATGTTAATGGTATTACTTTTACATAATCTCTGTGAAAAGATATTGTACTTATTGCTTGACTTGAGATATTTTGTGGAATATTTATAAACGCTGGATGAGACCATTCAGGGTCCCAAACGTAATCTGATTGTTCTGCAATGACAGTGTCGTCATTGGTACTTTGGGGTCTAAAATTTTTTCTTGCTTGTGCAATTAAATTTAAATTGTGGGTAAAATAATCTATTATCAACCATGCTAAAATTTTTTGTAAATCATGTTTAGTGTTTTTTGAGACATCATTATTGGTGAAGTTTTCACGGATTATATTTAAAAATGTTGAAAATACGGTGATTTGGTTTCTTACTTTTGTATGTTTAGATGTTTGGGATGGTGATTTGCTTTGAACTTCTGTTTTTTCTATAATAGATATGTAACTATATACTATTGCAAAAACTTCGTTAGTGAATATGGAGTTTGCTCTCTGTGAATTTTGATATTGTATGCTTTTGATATATTCTATGAATACTTTTGAAAATTTTAAATCAATATCGTCTGTTTGGATTACATATTTACCATGAGCTGTTGGTGGTGTGCTGAATTCTATGGTGTAGATTCCGTATTGTTGTGTTAGGTTACATATGTCTTTCAAATAATGTTCTATAATCTGTATTTTGATTTTTACATCCGGGAATTCTGCTTTGCATGGACTGATTCCTGGTTCAAACAAATCTACGAGTAAGTTTTTACAAAATCGTGTTTGTCCTCTATCATTGAGTGAACCTATAAGAAAGGGAAAAACTGCTTCTTCATCTGGACTTTCGTCACTTTGAGTGTGGCTCATTTTTTCGTTTGATGACTGTTAATATATAATTATCAATATGTCTAATTGGTTGATTCCAATTAAATAGGTGTACTGGTTTGTTTTTATATTGCTTTTTTATTCTTCTTTTTCCTCTTTTTGATGAGTTTGAAGTGGTTTCTGAATCGGAAAAATATAATTGATCATGGATGGGGCAATTTTTATTTATTGATTCCTTTAATTTGTATTATTTGTCTAAACTACTGGCTTCTGATTCGAAGAATGCGTTTCTATTTTTTGAAAATCTTTTTCTTGTTATTTGTCTTTGTTTGCTTATAATTTTTCTTTTTTTTGTTTGTCTTTTTGTTCGAATGTATCCAACTGTTTGTGTATGTGGAGTTATTACAAGATCGTATTTTTGGTTGTCTATTTCACAATTGTGTAAAACGATTGTTTGTTTATTTCCTAAATTTTTGAATGACATAAGGCCTAGGATGAGGGATGCAAGAATTTATTAGTGATTTTTTTATTCCTAGACTGTTAGCCCTTACAATTTTTTGGTTAGCTTAACCTGGGTCTTTTTGTTCAGAGCTGGAGAAAAAAGTATATCAATTCCGGAGAATGATGTTTTACTTTTTCGTGGCTAGGCTAAGTTAAGGTGTTAACTTACTTAATCCTACTTAGGGGTAGTGATTGTGTTCAAGGGTTGGAGAATAGTAAATCGATCCACAAGGTTCAGGTATAATTAGAACGCAAGTAGTTCGTTAGATACTATTTTAAACTTACTAAGTCCAAGATCTATCCTGGATCTGGTAAGAGGGGGGTTCAAGTGAAGGATGAATAACCGAAGTTCTTCACTGTTTAGCCTAATTTGAATGGTTAGTTTTATTAAAAATTTGGTAATTTCGGATAGGGTACACCGTCTGCTCGTCACGCTATCTTATTTTCGGCCGGATAGATTCGTGCAACTTCTTAGTCTAATACCGATCCTAATCTTACTCTTATATCTACTAGTCTCAAGGTGTTTAACTAGTCACTGCTAGATTCAATAGATCTAGAGTATACTGGCTTATTGCGACTGCTGAAGTTCTCTTGGAGAGGTAATTATTTTCTAAGTTAAATTCAAATCTCTCTGGTGCTGAAATTACAAGTAATTTCAGCACTTACAAATAGGTGGGTTGTTAGTTGGATGGATTATGATTGGTTAATATTAAATTTCTTACAGTGGTAAAATATCTAATTTATCCAATAATAAAATGTAGTTTAGATCAGATTCCACCGGGGACTTAGAATCGACAATGAATTTTAATGGTTTTTCGTTTTTTGATTAAAATCTATTAAAAATCCATTTGAGTTCCAAATTTGTCATGATATTTGATTATCTGGACAATATCTTATTCATCGAAAATCCATTATAAAATTTTTTTAGTCAACATAAAATTTTTTCTTGCTCAACATAAAAATGTGGACAAAATTAAGGCTCTTTTTACTCCCCCATCCCCCGCGCCCTCCCCACACTTGCAAAAATTTACTGGTAAAAATTATGTTCACTTTGTTCATAGTGGCCACGAACTCAACTACTCTCTTGTTCGTTTCTTGGCTTATACTTATATTCTGAACAACTTCATGAACAACAGTTTTTTTTCTGCTTGTTTTGTAATTAAGTTCAGTTGTA